CCTGGGTTCAGGCAATTCTCCTGCCTCAGCCTCCTGAGTAGCTGGGATTACAAGCTCGCGCCACCATGCCCAGCTAATTTTTGTATTTTTAGTAGAGACGGGGTTTCACCATGTTGACCAGGATGGTCTTGATCTCTTGACCTCGTGATCCACCCGCCTCGGCCTCCCAAAGTGCTGGGATTACAGGCTTGAGCCACCGCACCCGGCAAGTAACTCATTTTTAAACTTAAAAAGGACTCAATTTCCTCAAAAAGTCTGGGATTTCTGATTCAGGCAATCAAATATTCCTGTTACAGAGATATCTTTTCCCATCTCTTTCATCCCCTCCCAAGTCTGAAATACCTCCCCTTGCCTTTTACTGAAAGAAATCAGAGGAAGAAAAGAGTATGGCCAGAAAGGCCAGTGAAGGAAAAAACAAAGGGAGAAGGAGACAGAGGGAGGGAAAAGAAGAAGAAATATAGGAAGACAAAGTTGATATGCAAGATTTATTGAATGGCTATTTTTTTTTTTTTTTTTTTTTTTTTTGACAGTTTCACTCATGTTACCCAGGTTGGAGGGCAATGGCGCGATCTTGGCTCACCGCAACCTCCACCTCCTGGGTTCAGGCAATTCTCCTGCCTCAGCCTCCTGAGTAGCTGGGATTACAGGCACGCACCACCATGCCCAGCTAATTTTTTTTTTATTTTTAGTAGAGATGGGGTTTCACCATGTTGACCAGGATGGTCTCGATCTCTTGACCTCGTGATCCACCCGCCTCGGCCTCCCAAAGTGCTGGGATTACAGGCTTGAGCCACGGCGCCCGGCTAATGGCAATTGTTTAATGGGGGGGTCATGTGAGCATGTGGGGGTGTTTCCCTTTAAACAGTGTCCTTTATGTCTACACTGATATTACTCCATAATCAATAGGCAAATACATTTCAGTCCTCATCCCAACTGAACTCAGAAGCATTTGGTACTATTTTTCATGCTTTCTTGGATTGTCTTTTTCTTAGTTTTTTTGAGACAAGTTCTCACTTTGTCACCCAAGCTGGAGTGCACTGGTGCTATCTTGGCTTACTACAACCCTCCGCCTCCTGAGCTCAAGAGATCTTCCATCTCAGCCTCCTAAGTAGCTGGGACTACAGGTAAATACCACCATGCCCAGTTAATTTTTGTAAAGATGGGGTTTCACCATGCTGCCCAGGCTGGACTCAAACTCCTGGGGCTCAGGCAATCTACCCACTGAGGCCTCCCAAAATGACAGGACTACAGGTGTGAGCCACCGCACCTGGCTATTTTTTTTTTTTTAATAATATGTTGTAATTTTATTTTCTCCTGCCCCAAGAGAGAAT